CTGAGCAACATCTGCTCTACACAGTCACTAGAGAAATGTCCCAAAACAACCATAAAGGAACTAAATGACTATCATTTTTCTCCGTCCCGCTCCAGCTGAAGCTGTCCAATAAAATATTCAATCAAACTTCCCTAAAACTCATGTCCTAATTTCCCTGCTGAAACAACTCGCACATCAAAGGAGACGCAAACAAATAAAGAACAAGTCAGAGAATCTCTGATAACTTGGCAAGATTTTCCGCAACCTCTCCGGCGCCTGCACGAGCAGAGTGAGCAGAAAGAAATCATAAGAAATCTCGCAGTCAGGAAACCGATTCAAAGAGGACTTCTGAATTCATGACCACGTAAGGTGCTATATTTAGCCTGACAGATGACATCTGGTCAAGGTCTGAGTAAAAACGGATTTACAAGCCGACAAACCTGGAAGGCAAAGTTTGCTCAAAAGCACAGTATGAAGTGTAATGGAGTTCATTCCTGGAAGCTCTTCTGGAAGCATATTTCTAGGCTCTGTAACAGGTAAAAGTTCATATTCCAGGAGGTGGAAAGCATAATCAGTGGAGTAACACGTGGGCGTGAGGGGAAATTTGTCCAATCAGGATTGTATGTTAGATTTTAAATGCAACCAAACTGAAGTGAATCATTTGGAACGGCTTCCTGTACCGGCAACGGAAACTCACTTGAAAATGACTGATGCTCAAAAAAAAAAAAAACCCTCATCATGCTGGCACACCATGGAGTACTTTCATTATGACCATTCATTCGAATTTGCATAAAGCTGCCATGCTAGTCACCCTGAAAGCTGAGCATTTCAATACTAACTTTAACAGGCTGGAGTGAGTTTGTAGCCTGCTGTGATTAGCACTCAGCCCTTAGCAGTGTGATTATGTGTTTGTAGAGCTGTTTCTTGATGTAGTGCTGTTGAAAACTGTGGTCAATGTTAGTGCACTTAGCGTTTCCCCACACATACTATACTTTTAAGGCTCCATCCAAGCATAGCCTGACAGTTACCCAGGCATATTCTGTCCCCTCGTTTCAACAAATTCCAGATTTTATAACGTAATGAATATATACAACATGTGAAATATCAGCTGCACGTTTCCACATTTCACAGGTTCACGTTCAGTACAACACTAAGAAAACACAGGTTATTACTTTATTTTATTTTTTATTTTTTAGATACCCATATACATTCATAAATATTACTAATGCCTCCTCCAGGTGCTTTCCCCAGGTATATTTCAGACCATCTGTATATTTAAGCAATAGAACACGAGAGGGAGTGTGTTATCGCAAAATAACATAACGGCTGTGATTCGGTCGCTGTAGATCATCACAGCCGTGATGTTATTCGCGATAACACACGAACTCGAGTGTTCTATTGCTTTTATACAACAGTTAGATAAATAAAGTACAAAATAAATAAACTCGGCTGTGAACGCAGCATTTAATATATGTTTTAATTCCTTTCACCAGATTATAGTTCCTTAACAAACAGTTTGTTGCTACATCAGAGTGATGAACGTTCACTCCCTGCTCAGACTGCTGTAAGCCTTGCCTTTTGAGGTACAGACTGAGCCATAAAACTGCCGCAATATCAAATTTAGCTCAGTTTTGTCATTTTTTGCCAGATCAGTATTGTTGTTTTGTTCCAGCCAGTCTGTAAAGCATCTTACAGCCCATTTAGTTTGGCGAATGGTGTTGGGTTCATTTCTGACTGATTCCAGGTTGTTCAGCTGTTCTTCTGTCACAGCTGCCGACTGAAAAGCTGCTCAGTGGTGATGACAGATTGGGAATTCAGTGTCGTCTCATCTTCAGAGTCTGACCAAATCGGCTGTCGGTCAAATGTGATCGTAAAAGTGTCCATTTTCTGTTTGTGGCAAAGTAAGAAGTAAAAACGTTCAAACGGCTTGAGCGTCTCCTACAGCTGTCAAAGTCGTCGCTTAGTAACAGCGTCTCAGCGGAGTGATAGTGTTTGTGAAAAAATGTGATGTTATGGTGAAATAACAGCACAGTTAGAACGCCTCTCAACCAATCAGCTTGCGTGGCCGGAACCAACTGTTGTATAATTGAGAACACTGTCAGTGATAACTGACACGCATATGCACATTAAATGCTGAATGCTGCTGCCGTTGTGTTAAAAAATGCTAAATTTCCTTCTTCTACTTTAGCACCTCAGAGAACCATACCAGTTTTACAGTTCTTAGAGGTTTCCCAAGCATTATTTATGTATTGAAGGTAAACAATAATAGAATCAATCATCACCAGTGTACCCTTCCTTATTTATTTATTCATTATTAATGTAATTATTAAAGCAAATTTTAAGGTGAACATTTACCAAACGTATGGCTTGTTGTCATTAACATCGTATTGTCATGCTTGTGTCATGACACATGTCTACTTCCAGCAGAAGGAGAGGAAGAAACAACCAGGAGCAGATTTTTTCAGTGGGAATGCACTTGGGCTTGGCTAAGCTAGTCCCAGTGAGCGAATCAGCCAGCTAAGCAAACGCGGTAAAGTAAACCGTTCTGAGAGGTCAAAGCGTAACGAACATAACCGTAGTAAACAAGTGTGTCTGGAGTCTGGTTTACATTTCAGGTTTAAACGAAAACTGTTATAAGTCACGTTTGTTCTTTGTTTTGTTTTTTTTCTGCTAGTTCTTTAGCCCTAAGCTTGCTAATTACAAAAGCAGACATGAACATTTTTAATTACCAGTTTGGCTGATTAAAGAGTTAATAATGCTGTTTGTATTGCAACTTATAAAAGGTAATTTCTTATTACCAATATTAATAAAAGTACTGGAAGTGTGCTAGTGCTTCATGTTCTTATTTACCCACACAATGTGAGTTTCAGATTAAAGAAGGACAATAAAAACCGGCTGTAAAGAATTCGGAATCGGACATTAAAGTTCATCACTGGTGAATCCCTGAATCAGCATTACGATTTTTAAAATATTATGCACTGAGAAGCATTTTATTGTTCCTGCTTATAAATGTCTTTGTCCCTCATCTTTTCACATTTGAAACAGGAATTCAATGTTTTCTGGGTAAATTCTGCTGTGGAAGTCTTCAATTATGTTGACTCGACCACTCAGCCCTCCAAGGGTTTATCTAAGGCAACATTCACACAACAGGTAAAAGTGACCCAAATCTGATTTTCTCACCAAATCTGATTGTTTTGTTTGGCTGTTCACAATATCTTTTAAATGTGACCTACACACGACATCACTGAACAGATCAGCTCCTAAACTGACCCGCATGCGCAAAAGAACAATGCGTCACGTTGCTTCACGTGGCTCATCCAGCGGTAAACAATCATGACTGCCCAGGAACGCCAGTCGCTCCTAGAGATTTCAGTTTCATCTTCACCAGCGTCACAGGAGCAACAGTGAAGCTTCACTGACTGACAGCTGGGCTCATCACCCAGAATGCGTTCAAGCTCACCGTTAAAAGTGCATGTTACACTGACACGGTCACTTGTTTGGTTCACGTCCTCTAATTCTTTAAACAGACTTTGCTTTCAGACTTTCTCTTGACGCTGCAGCCTCGTTCTCCTACAGCTGCGTTCAGTCATTTCTTTCGAAATCTCTTCGAACACGGAGGTGTTTCAGATAAGTCTCTTCTATTTCTTAGTACAGAAACATCAGCCTAAATGTTTGAGTCTCAGTAGCGCAAAATTAGGACGAATTTGGAGTTGGACTGACGTAAAAGTGAATTCCGATCTGGCTGTTCAGACTGAGTCACATTGCCGCAGATCGGATACGTGTCGGATTTCAGTATCACATATGAAAGCGTCTCAAATCGGAACTGAAAATGTCAGCTTCAATGTGTTTTTTGCTGTTCACACTGACACACAGACACATCTGTGGGCCACTTTTACCCACTGTGTGAACAAAGCCTAACAAACTATACTTGAGCCAACAGGGAAATGGCAAGCGTGAGTCAGGACAAATTTCAGAGGAGTGAGAAATATAGTTGCAAAGAAATACGTGTTGTAAAATAGGCCTCATGTGCACAGTCATACTGACTCTCCTGTTTCTCCACTTTCACTAGTAGGTCATCTTTAGTATTCCTCCCTTTGAGAGAAAGAAAGAGGGGGCTCTGCGGTGGTGCGAATCCTAGACAGTGAGATCACTGGAAATAACGAGAGGAGAGTGAAGTGCAATAGCTGTGTGTATGTGTGTGAGGTTGTGTGTGTGCGCGCATACTCTCCAGGGAAGTCCAGACTGCGGTCAGTCAAAGTTCTGAAGCTCCAATCAGTTCTGTAGCCTTCAGCCACATCCATCTACATGCAAATTTCACTTGGAGAACGTCAGAGGCAGAGAAAGCAGAAAACAGCACACCGCACACCAGACCTCACACTGAGAATGGACTCCTGCCAACACGTGTAGATTAAAGAAATACAGGCTGCAGGAAATCGAATCCACTTGGTACAAACCAGCTGTGAAAACCAGTGCCAAGCAACACCAAAACTAAGCCAGACCTTGAAAAATAACACCTGAATATTAAAAAAATAAAAAAATATATATTAAAATATAAAAGACACCAAACCATGCAGTCAAGTCTTATGAAGATTTTTTTTTTAATGTTGGAAAGAAAATTTGGATGAATGTAGAACGCAAGACATTTCTGTCAGAGTAAAACATAATGAAACGTTCTCAGGATGTATGAGGACCCAAGTAACCAGATGTTTCTGTCATATTTAGAATAATGTGAAATGCACTAACAATTACTTCAGGCTCACAATTTCTAAATCTTATTATATCAGCAAAATTTGCAAAGCTCTCCACTCCATTCCACACAAATTGATCATTTCCTCTTTATCTCCAGGGGCTCAGACCAAAAGCAAACAGCCTGCAATTCCACAGCCACATCTCAACAGACCATTTAATTGTAACTTTACTGCATGTGCACTTAATATATTAAAGCAAAGCAACATCCAGAACTGGGTGACTAATTACGGCAAAAACTCTTCCCCATCTCCATATGGAACATCCACTCCTACCTTGTTCAAAGTGACTAAGTTGAAGAAAGACTGCCCCAGATTTTCAAAGAGTTGTGCGTCTCCAAACAGGGAAGTTGGCTCCAGCAGTCAGTCTGCAGAGGTAAAGGGATAAATGCATAGTTCACCAACAGTGTTCATGTACAAAACAAATAGACATTCGCTTTTAAAATGTACTATATATATTTGAAAAGTCATTGTGCGGCCATATAAAACATGGGCAGTAGTGGTGGGAGGTATACCAGTTCATCCGCTATACATGCTGAAGTTCTTCCTACGGTATGAGTTTTGTCAGAACACAGTTATGCCACAAATAACCCTAACCTAGTGCAAACCACGCCTCTTTAGTTGAGTGATATGGAGAGTTATGGATAAACGAGAGAAAAAAAAACAAACACAGTAGTCCCTCGGCTGCCTGCCACTGTCTAGTCAGATGCAACTAGTAGCCCACTTTGTTTTCTAGGCAGCCAACATGAATTAAACGGCTGGTCTTTTGGGGTTAGCCTTAGCCTAAACACGGACATCACAGCCTTGTGTGCAAAACAAGCCGTGGACCAGCTGTTACTGATAGCTGTATAACTAACATTTTCCAGTGTCTGACAGTCAGAGTCACGAGTGTACGGGACGCACTCATGAAACAAAAGAGAAATCTGATGAAAGCTGAAGTTGGCATCTATTCAAAATTCCTGTCCCAACTTAAATAGCGCAGCAGTTACAGTCAGGTACCTGTACAGTATTCAACTGTAACTGCTGCACCATTTTGGGTGGAACTGAAAAAGCAAAAAAGCTGATAAATATGAACTTCAGCCCTGTAAAAGTTAAGAGGTGAAACAAAATTTAGCACCGTTTTTGGTGGGTCAGCAGGGCTGGTGTTAAAAAAAAAAGCAATATTGACAGGTTTCTCAATGTATTGTTCTGTTTAGTTCATACAGACACACACACACACATAAATGTATACCTACATATCACTGCTGTTGGAAGAAAACCTCGTATCTCCATTTTTGTCGTTTTTCAGTTTTTGACATAACACGAAAATGCCTGTTGTCCTTTACATTGTGTGTAAATTTCATGAAGAATGAACCAAAGGAAACATCCAACATAGAAAAAAGTCTGGGTCCACTGAATTACATTAAAAGAATCGTATGTTTTTTCCTTCTCCTGTAAAGTTACCATTTTGGAGACCAGAGGTTTTCTTCTGACTACAGCGATATATACATGTGCACATATACATACACAGAGCAATCCATAGAGAAACCTGTCATATATATATATATATATATATATATATATATATATATATATATATATATATATATATATATATATATTAACTAACTTAAGCAGCTAAACAGCCAATTCAAAACCTAAAAGGTTACTAAAACACCTTTTTTGAACCAATCAACTTGAAACTGGCTAGTGATTTTACTAAAATTAATAATCAGTAGTTTCTAATAATGCAATCTCAAAAACACTGATAATCTCACTGGACATATATTTACTGATTTGAGAGCTGTACTACTACTACTGCTACTACTACTGCAAGCCAGAAAACACTCTAACACTGTAACTCTAGCTCTGCTAAATTCCTTGTCATTTCCGTATAAATGCAGATGCAGATGGGTGTAAAATAACTAAACAGCTGTATACTTGCTGCTAGATTAGTCTTGGGTAAAGGAGCTGCTTTAGCGTTTCCAATACAGAGCAGCACAATAGGTGACAGGACATTGCCCAAGTAGCTGTTAATTTCCAGTCTGTTTGAAACCTCGTCTTCCTTTCAGAGCAGCCATTTAACACCGGCTGCAAGCCACATTTGCATCTGCATCATGCTGGTGTTTTATTGATGATGTTTTGAGAGTAATCAAATATGAATGGCCTTTTACAGGTAAGCTTTTGAAAAAATCATGCTTAAAATGAATTATTTTCATCATTCATTCAACTTAAACCACTTGATCCAGCTAGGGTGGCAATAGCAACAGGGAAAGCAGAGAATCCCAGATTACCCTGTTCCCCCACAACTTCCTCCAGCTCATTCTGGGGGATCCTGAGCCGCTCCCAGGCCAATTTGGAGATATAATCCCTCTAGCGGGTCCTAGAACGACCTCTGGGTCTCGTTCCAGTAGGCCGTGCCTGCTAAACCTCCAATGAGAGTTGGCCGATTAGGATGCCCAAACAACCTCAACTGGCTCCTCTCAATGTAGAGGAGTAGCGGCTCTACTTGCGGTCATAGGTGAGGGTCGGGATGTAGACCAGTCGGTAAAGAGAGAGCTTTGCCTTATGGCTCAGCTCCCTCTTCATCATTACAGTCCGGTACAGTGATCGCATTACTGCTGCCACCTGTCCCAGCCTGCAGCTGATATCACGATCATTCTTCCCATCACTTGTGAACAAAACCCCAAGATACTTAAACTCCTCCACCTGGGGGCAGGTCCTCTCCCCCTACCTGGAGGGGGCATGCCATCCTAAAATGAATTTTTATTCTTAATTTGTGGGCAGGAGTGGGCAACATGACTAAATATAACATATCATATAAATGACACAATATCAGTGTAACACCACAGACTACTAGCTAGTCTAACCAAATGTGGAAAGAAACAAATTGAAGTAAGAAACCTCACACTGAAATTAGACAGAGGTCACCTTAGCTTTGATAACATACTACAGGTCTGCTGAGTAGTGCTGCAGCCAGGGGCGCAACGATATGCAAATTTTATGAAATAACGTGTAAAATGTATTGTCGTTTCTGACTCACAATACAATACATTTTAAGTATAGAATAAGAAAAGAAATGCTAACATAACTTTCGCATGCATTTCTTCTTTTTGCCCCCCCCCAAAAAACAGCAGTGCTTCTTGAAGGTATAACTGGCACAAGTAATTTTCTTAGAGAATAAAATTTTATAAACAAAAATGCAACATCTATGATACAAATTGCACAAGTGTGTTTGGCAAATGTGTGTTATTCCACTCAAAATAATAAAATTAAACAAAAAAAGAAAAACAAAAAAAGTGTGGACTAGGCTACATCTCAAAATTAAACTTTTACCCAATTTTCTCCCCAATTTAGTCGTCGCCAATTCCACCGGCTAGTTAGGACTCCCCCAGTCACACAATACCAACACTAGGAGGGTGAAGGCTAACACAGAGACCTGTGAAACCAGCCACTGCTTCTTTTCGAACTGCCACTCACGCAACGTCATTGGACAGCTGAACGCACTTGGAGGAAAGCGCCAACCGCCAGATCTGTATCACGTTGAGTGATGGGGGAGAAGGGGGGGCCATCCTATCCACCCAGAGAGCGAGGCCAATTGTGCTCTCTTGGAGGGATCGAACTGGCGATCTCCTGATGAGAGGGCCAACTGATAGGGGCAACACTTAGACGGTTGTGCCACTCGGGAGCCCTTGAGTTTTACTAGCTCATTAACAATCTTCTTGTGTTTGTATATAAAGCGTGGCTCTTCCATTCTTTCTAAAATGAGTGTCAGACTGGATTTTCTAACATGGCTTAATGAATCCCAGTGAACTGCCGGAATCCAGGACTTTACAACAGAGTAGCTATCTGAACGTTCCTGTCAGGTTATTTGTTTCGGCCATTCAGAATCAAAGCTTGGTGGCTGCTTGAATCCTGTGTAGAGAAGTAGCTGCAGCAACCCCCTCGTTCCAGTAACACAGACATTTAGTAGATGTCTTCACTAACAAGCTAGCACAGTTGAGGTATTAGCACCGGTACTCGTGCAATGTCGGCACACTGTCACCCTTCAGTCTGCCTCTCTCTGTCCATCAGTACTGCTTTCAACATTCCCAGCGAACTGCGGAATCCAGGACTCTACAACAGAGTAGCTTTCAGAACAGGAGATGAATGAGAGTTCAATCCACCTGTTCCAGCTAAGACTTGCTCTCTCCGCTCACCATTTCAAGCAGCTCAGCGAATCAACCATCCAAGGTAGACATCCGAATTTGCCCTCAGGTGTCAGAGCGCAATTGCTGCACCATTTACGATGGAAGGGAAATTCCGAAGCTACTGAATTAGAAGAAAACTTCAGCTTCTTCCAACGTTGGCTGAACAAAACATTTATAGTTCTAAGAGCTGCGCTGCAAATATATATATATATATTCAAGGTTAAATTTATGATTATCCTGGACTGTGTGAAACAGAACTATAGAAAACATTACCAATATTACATATTTTACAACATGAAATATAACTATTTGATTCACAGCATAAACCATTGCATCGGACAGATTTCACCAATATTTTAAATCACTATTTAATGTATTTTTGTACTTAAGTACAGAATATTTAGGACACGCTGGGCGGCTGTGCAAAAATGTCTGCATTTTATGTTTGTATCCCTCTAGACAAATGTATGTTATATTTCTCTGTAATGCGAACGCAGGTAGATTCAGTTCTGGTTTCCCTATCTTATAAAATGTTTACATATCAGCAAATGACCACAGCTGTGTTTCAGCTATGGTTGTAACAAATGTTCTTTAGAAGTCAGACGTTGTTATTAACGTGCTCAAAATAAGTATTACATACAAACAAGTATATCCACTTGGTATTTGTCTTATCAATAACTACCTTTTCATCTAAAGGACTTTTGCTGAAAAACGCTGTAACCCTTCAAAACGTTTATCCATGTAGGCTACAGAAATGAAAACTGACGATAATATTTTATTAGAGGCGATAAAACTTTTTCCTCCTATTCTACTTAAGCAGAAAAAAACGTTTATTGACACCCAAAATGTCCCCAAAACTTCAATGGAATTAAATGGAAAGAAAAAAAAAATAAATAAAAAAAAGTGCACATATACATAAATTTAACGAGTTCCCCTCACACGCCTCTTTCATGAAACACAAACAGATTGTGGAGAGATTTAGTTAGAGTGAGGAGTGGAGAGATTTTTAAAGGATTGATGCCACTTTTCAGCTCTAACAAAGAGAAATAAATACAAAATAAACATTTCTAAATATAAAGAGCTGAAACAGCTCTGCAAGGCAAAGAAACAGCTCCATAAATAAATAAACAGATAAACAGACTTTCCTTATCAGTAGGTTCTTTGGACGTTCAAGAAGCCAAATGTTTACAAATTGCAAC